TTCCATTTGCATTAAAATAACCTGAGAAAATGCAGTATACAAGTCATCTAATACAAAGATGTAAAAGCACACTGCAGTATAATGAAATAATAAGTGGTGTACAGTCGGTTATCATACAGCTGATGTAATGAAGCGATGTGAGGTCAGTGCTGCATCGGCTATTAAACACATTCCCGTTTTGTCAGCAATTGATTTTAATATCACTTCTTTTTGCTCCACTTGTTTTCTTACTCCTGTGGCCTTTATGGTCCTTGTATTTGGAGGCCAACAATGTGAAAAGCTGTCAGATCCACACCACATGACCCACAAGCTTGTGTCTTATTGTCTGGTGAGTTTTATCAATCACACACAAGAAAAAACAAAATGACCTACAGGTTCTCTCTCTTTATATCCCTGGTGTGAATAGGTTAGTATGGGTTCTTTTGATTTTAAATCTTGCTTGCACTTGGTGTGAATAGACCTTTAATCCGTATTCTCAAAGTCAACAGGAAATCAAAAAAGACTTTATTTGCTTTCCTAATACTCTTTATTCTGGTCTTATTGGAAAATATTCATCTGTGTACATAATTTTAAAAAGGTTTTTTGTCATTAGATCTTTTTATTTGTCAACCACCTGTTATACACTGTAGAAACACAGTATCACTTTGCAACAAGGTTCCATTAGTTAACATTAGTTATTGCATTAATATTTACTAACAATGAGCAATACATTTCTTACATGATTTATTAATCTTAATTGGTAATGTTAATAAAAACACAACTGTTGTTTGTTAGCTCATGTTAACTCAAGGTCTTCATGACAACCTGTCCAAACAAAAGTTTGGGTAATAATAATAGTAATAATAATAATAATAAACTGTATTTTTCAGGAATTATCACCTTTTTTTATTTTAACAGTAACCCTCTGTTGTTCAGTACTTTTGTTTGCCAAAAAAAGTAATTGTTAAGTTTTAAAGTAATTGTAAAAAAAAAAAAAAGTAATTGTAAAAGTTTTTTTTTAAAAACATTTCATGGTGCTATATTATTATAAAGTAAATTATTAAGTTATTTTAGGATTTTTTTAATGTTATTGATTCAGCTCTTTAGATATGCTTTTTGATGATTAAAATTGAAATAAACCATTAAAACCGAATCCAGAAAAAAAAAGAAAAACTCTGAATTTGGGAAAAATAAAACGGAATTTGAGTAAAAAATAAAACAGATTTCATAGAGCCCTAAAAATGAAATGACTGATTAATTGATTAAATTGTTCAAGTTTTATGATTTCAGTTAATTACACATGCTTTTTGATTAAATTTGAATGTAACCCTAAAACGTCCAAATCAATTAAAACATGACCAGAGACACTTTCTGATATCACTGAATATCAGAAATACATCACATTTTGTCAATAAAATGGCTTTCTAATGCCATTTCATGTTGACTTTAAGCAGTTATGTCCAGGGTTATGGAAAGAGTCAGAGATTTAGCAGTATGTGCATATGTCACAGAGATTATCACAGAACACACATCACCTTTATAGTGAAGCAGAGCATTAGCCTGAATATTTGCTCATATTTCTTACCTCTCTCAGCAGATGTGGGTTAGTTAATCTGTGTCTAGACTAGAGGGCGACCAAGAGCCGTGTTCTGCATTAACATCCAGAAATCATGCTTCCCTCCGGCTCTGGTTCATCTCCTCTCTCCTCTCACACGCCCCTTTTCTGTTGTAACATGGGCAGAAAGAGTCTGGAAAGGCAATTTAGCTGGGAGGCGAGACAAATTAGCAGCTGTTTGCGGGATTACATGACACATCCCCTGTTTCCAGAGTGATACAGAAATCACAATAAAAGCTTTGGAAATAGCACAGCAGTTAAATTAAGCTGGCAGAGCTCTCAGCTATCAGCTCTAAACCAATCACAAATGATAATCATATTCTACAAGGACACAGAGACTGTAAAAGATCGTGCTAACTGTAGACTTGGTGAGCTTTGGATATTGTGTTGAAGATCAGTGTTTGATTACATTCATTTTTCTCATGCAAATTGCAGAGAGAAAAGTTTAGTAATGAGTGCAATCATATTCTATAATGTGGTATAATGAGATGTTTTGTTTTCTGAAGAAAATGTGTGTGGTGTTTTATGTCTGTGCAAAACTCAGGTCCATTAGGCTCATTTATTCTAGAGGGTTGCTAGGTTGTTGCTAAGTAGTTTATGGGATGTTCTGCATGATTTGTAGGTGGTTGCTATGGCATAGATAGATGGTATTTGAAATGGTTATGGCATCAGTGTTAGTTTAGTATCATCTATATACTATGACTGTTTATTATTAATACTTTTACTCCCTTTTTTAATTGTAATTTTTCTTTTGATTTCAATTACATTTTTAGTAATTTCGTGATGTACTGTTGTTATTTATTTAGTATTTAGGTTTAGTTTACTTTTAGTTCCATTTTAATTTCAGGTTAGTTTTTTAGTGCTTCAACTTAAACATATTTCAGTTAGTTGCCAAGGCAACATTTATCATTTTTCCTTTAAATTTTAATTACATTTTTAGTAATTTTGTTACATGCTTTTGTCATTTTTATTTATTTTTCCCAAATATTGCTATTTAGGTTTGATTTACTTTTAGTATAGTTTTAGTTTTCAATTAGTGCTTCTTAAACTTATTTCAAATACAGTAGCTTCGAATGCAACATTTTTCATCTAATATTTTCATCCAATATTTTTATTGTATTTCAACTTCATGCTAATTGGCAAAATGTTTTTAATAGTTTTTATTGTATGTAATGATTGCAACTCTGTATGGCATTGGTAAACGATTGCTCAGTGATTTCTGGGGAGTTGCTACTGTATGTAGTTTCTAGGATTAGAATTACATGATTGCTTAAGAATTCTGAATGTATTCATGTATTGCTATGCATTTAATAGGGTTTTGAGGGTAGCTAGATTTCTAGGGTGTTCCAGGTTGTTCATTGCTATAGTAGGAGGATTATAGAGTAGCTGTGATTTGAGAAATCACAATTGCTGACGGCAATGCACAAGCTCAACTTTAATACTCAGTGCTAAAGGTTTGTTGCATGTACTAGAGATGTTTGCATTAGAAAACACAACGAAATAGAGGATGAATGGAATGGACAGAATGAGAGAGAGGTTAAAACGAGAGGACATTGATGCAAGGTTTAATAGCTGCAAGTCAGTCTTCGATTCTGTTACACACACACATTCATCCCGCCTTCCTGCTGTGCATCTAATCCTTTCCCATCCTTCCTTCTCTCGCTCTCTCTCTCTCTCTCTCTCTCTCTCGTGTCACGTGTGCAGATCTGTGAATTGCAGCAGCGGCTTTGTGCATCTCTTTCTGTGTGAGCGAGAGAGAGGCTCAGGGCTGCACTCCTCCAAGGGCTTCTTGTACTCTCTCTATTCACACACGCGCATCCCGTGCATCCAGACAGGGGGCTTTCACCGTTCCAGACACACCGTCTGCTGCGACTTCTGTCTGGGAGAGCCGGACAGAGAGGAGGGATTTTACCCAGGATCCTTCCGTGATTTGCAACAGCATGCGCCCGCCGAGCCAGACCTCATCCCAAGGTTGAGTGGAGCGCTGCAGCAGGCGACGAGGGAGGAATGGATCGCAGAGAGAGCAGGACGTGGAACTGAGGGCTCGCTTTGTGCGTTTGCGTCGTCGGAGGATGCTTTGGGCATCGCGGCAGGACGTTTAAGAGTACGGCGGATGCTAGTGGATGGATTTTGCATGCTGTCGGAGAGGGTTGTGATTCAGGTATGTGTGTGTACTAACTTAAGCTGTTGCATCTTGAATGTTGAATTGCAATTGAACTGATCATGCATTTTGTGTGTGCATGCATCCGTGCATCACTTTTTTATGTCATTCTGTGCCATTAGACTTTGTGGTACATCCGACGCTTGATGCTTTCAGCTCACTGATCAACATCTGGTGGCGTGTCCTCGCAGGCAGAGCGGGATGACTGAAGCGCTTGCCGGATTATAAAGAGTTTTCTAATTCCGGCAGCTCTGATTTGTTGCATCTCTCGCACCGAGAGCATGCATCGCGCTCGCAAATTAGCGTTGGTTTAATGCATGCACGGATGCCCTGATGATGTGAACTGATATCCAGCATGTTTTGGCTCATGGTTAAAATGCATGCATTTTCAGATTTAGAAAGCATATGCCGACTCGGATCTGTGCATGCCGAGGTCTCGCGGTGTAATGAGTGAATGTGAGATGAGCAACGGCTCGTAATTGTGTTAGTGGCCCTGATGATGTGAACTGATATCCAGCATGTTTTGGCTCATGGTTAAAATGCATGCATTTTCAGATTTAGAAAGCATATGCCGACTCGGATCTGTGCATGCCGAGGTCTCACGGTGTAATGAGTGAATGTGAGATGAGCAACGGCTCGTAATTGTGTTAGTGGGTGGGGCTCTCTCTCTTTCTCTCTCTCTCTCTTGCACTTGCTGTCTCTCGTCTCTCTATCTTAAATATGCATCAGGAGGGGCTGAGGTTGTCAGAGGAGTGTCTGTATGCTTAAGAATTCTGAATGTATTCATGTATTGCTATGCATTTAATAGGGTTTTGAGGGTAGCTAGATTTCTAGGGTGTTCCAGGTTGTTCATTGCTATAGTAGGAGGATTATAGAGTAGCTGTGATTTGAGAAATCACAATTGCTGACGGCAATGCACAAGCTCAACTTTAATACTCAGTGCTAAAGGTTTGTTGCATGTACTAGAGATGTTTGCATTAGAAAACACAACGAAATAGAGGATGAATGGAATGGACAGAATGAGAGAGAGGTTAAAACGAGAGGACATTGATGCAAGGTTTAATAGCTGCAAGTCAGTCTTCGATTCTGTTACACACACACATTCATCCCGCCTTCCTGCTGTGCATCTAATCCTTTCCCATCCTTCCTTCTCTCGCTCTCTCTCTCTCTCTCTCTCTCTCTCTCGTGTCACGTGTGCAGATCTGTGAATTGCAGCAGCGGCTTTGTGCATCTCTTTCTGTGTGAGCGAGAGAGAGGCTCAGGGCTGCACTCCTCCAAGGGCTTCTTGTACTCTCTCTATTCACACACGCGCATCCCGTGCATCCAGACAGGGGGCTTTCACCGTTCCAGACACACCGTCTGCTGCGACTTCTGTCTGGGAGAGCCGGACAGAGAGGAGGGATTTTACCCAGGATCCTTCCGTGATTTGCAACAGCATGCGCCCGCCGAGCCAGACCTCATCCCAAGGTTGAGTGGAGCGCTGCAGCAGGCGACGAGGGAGGAATGGATCGCAGAGAGAGCAGGACGTGGAACTGAGGGCTCGCTTTGTGCGTTTGCGTCGTCGGAGGATGCTTTGGGCATCGCGGCAGGACGTTTAAGAGTACGGCGGATGCTAGTGGATGGATTTTGCATGCTGTCGGAGAGGGTTGTGATTCAGGTATGTGTGTGTACTAACTTAAGCTGTTGCATCTTGAATGTTGAATTGCAATTGAACTGATCATGCATTTTGTGTGTGCATGCATCCGTGCATCACTTTTTTATGTCATTCTGTGCCATTAGACTTTGTGGTACATCCGACGCTTGATGCTTTCAGCTCACTGATCAACATCTGGTGGCGTGTCCTCGCAGGCAGAGCGGGATGACTGAAGCGCTTGCCGGATTATAAAGAGTTTTCTAATTCCGGCAGCTCTGATTTGTTGCATCTCTCGCACCGAGAGCATGCATCGCGCTCGCAAATTAGCGTTGGTTTAATGCATGCACGGATGCCCTGATGATGTGAACTGATATCCAGCATGTTTTGTCTCATGGTTAAAATGCATGCATTTTCAGATTTAGAAAGCATATGCCGACTCGGATCTGTGCATGCCGAGGTCTCACGGTGTAATGAGTGAATGTGAGATGAGCAACGGCTCGTAATTGTGTTAGTGGGTGGGGCTCTCTCTCTTTCTCTCTCTCTCTCTTGCACTTGCTGTCTCTCGTCTCTCTATCTTAAATATGCATCAGGAGGGGCTGAGGTTGTCAGAGGAGTGTCTGTATGTGATGTACGGGGTCAGAGCCCTGCGTCTGCATCGGATCGATAATCTCTGTTTTTTGCATCTCAAACCACACATGAGAATCGGCTCTCCTTGAGGCAACAGAGGGAGAAAGAGACAAGCAGCTAATGAGCTGCCCGTCTTTATGAGGCATTGCACAACACGCTGTCAAGCGCAATAATTTGGAGCAGCTACATAATAAATGTAAACTAATAACTGGCTAAAAAAATAACTTGCAAATAAATGCACAGTGTGCTTTCACAATAGGCTAATGGTGAGGAACCGAGTCAGTTTCACTTTATAATTCTGTTCATATGGATAGTGAACGCAGTTTTTTAAAACCTAACCTGAATCTGCTTAAAGGTGGTTTGAGGTTCGAGTGCTTTTAATAGTATATGTTGCAATTCACAATAAAGCATTGCATTCTAGCTTGTGGAATTGGAAAGAAAAATGTTATTGCTAAGAGTTTGGACTTTCGTTACTCAGGAGAGGTTCAAGAATATATAGTTAAAGAAATTGTTCATCCAAAAATGAAAATGTGCTCATCCTCAGGCCATCCAAGATGTTGATGAGTTTATTTCTTCATCAGGTTTGGAGAAATGTAGCATTGCATAAATTACTCAGCAATTGGATGCTCTGCAGTGAATGGGTGCCGTCAGAATGAGAGTCCAAACAGCTGATAAAAACATCACAATAATCCACAAGTAATCCACACCACTCCAATCCATCAGTTAACATCTGGAGAAGACAAAAGCTGCGTGTTTGTAAGAAACAAATCCACCCTGGCCAGAAAAGAGTCCTCTCTAACAGCTTCCACTCTTCTTTCCAGTAGATCTTAGTTCATGCATGCAGGGAATTGCTCTCTTTCAGACACAGGAGCATTAGTGCATCAATCAAGTTCTTTCATGCCAGAGTCAGTAAACCATTTCTTTATGACCTCGCTTTGTGTGCAGGTCATTATCGTACTGGAATAAAAATAATTGCATTTCTATGTGCTGGATTGTTAGTAGTCAGTGCAGCTGAAATAGCAAGATCTGTTCATTTGTAGGTTCTGTCACATATGTTTGGTCATTCAGTGTATATTTTTCATTAGCTATCCAATAAAGTGACTCTAAAACAACATAAATTCAGAATCAGTGCAGATTAAAACATATTTTCCATAATGGCCTCTGTGATGATCGCATTGCATTGCATTACATAATATCCAATTAAATTTGATTAGCGTTGTGAAATAGTAGTTGATTACCTGTTAGGCTTGTGGTGGAAATATGACAGTTACTCTAATCAGATTTAATTGTCTCATCTGTATTTTTCAGTAGATTGATTGATTGAGCTCTGTAATGCTGTAATGGCTTAATAAAGAGACAGAGATTCCAGCCATTAATCACAGAAGAGCTAATAAATTAATTGGAAAAGGAAGTTAGAAAGTTAGAAACCTCTGGTCTCAGCATTTGTTTCCATTGTCCAGACTGAACTTTTCTGAGTAGACATCAGTGTCCAAAGTCTTAATCATTGCCTAAGAAAGCACATGCTGGAGTTTTACCAGCCGAATACTTAGTTTAATTAAACGTATCAGCGAGTAAATTCGTAGTAAATTATGTGGTCTGGTGATTGTGACATTTGATGTCTGTTACTAAATGGTTTGGTTGTGTTGAATAGGCACAATGTGTGGCAGAGTGAATCTCATCTTCTTCACAATTTACCCTAAAATAAAAAAAATATAAAAAAAAAAAATATATATAGAGAGAGAGAGAGTTGGGATTTTTTTTTTTGGATTTTAGGGTAAATTGTGAAGAAGATGAGATCCTAACCATTTAGATTTTTGGAATTGTGATATTACTTTCAAGATGATTAAGCACCTCAATAATATTAAAATATTTATTGACAGGAAAATAATGTTATGATGCAAAAAATCTTAATGCAACTGATTCTTTTGACAATACAGATATTTACTTGAGAAGCTTAGATATTAGGACTTGTTTTCAGAATTTTATTATTTTATTTTTTTAAAACTTTTTTCTTGCTCTATGCATAAGAAAATGTATTGAGATTTATGCTTAGAACAAGAAGAAGAAAAAAACAGGATTGTTTTTGCCTGCGGGGGACAAAATAAACTTAATTCAAGATTCAAATTCCATTGAGAATAAGTCATTTTATCTTATTTACATGACTTTACTTGTGAAGCATAATTGTCTTGTTTTAAGGATATTTTTTAGTGGAAAACAATACAAACTACTGATGTACTGAAATATGACCATGTTCTTGACAGGATACAGAGTGAGTTTAGCACTGATCGTCAAATTACATCTGATTGAATTAATAACATTTGATTGTACAAGCTTTCTTTGGTTATAATTACATTAGTGGAGTGAAAGCTGCTTTGGTGGGTCTGAGACAGAGAGAGAGATTGAGACAGACAGAGAGAGAGAGACAGATAGAGAGAGAGAGGTCTGTAAACATCAAGGTGTGTTACTCACAGCAACACATCTGTCAACAACGCCATGCGCGCACACACACACACACACACACACACACACACACGCTCACACACACACACACCACACACACACACACACACACACACACACACACACACGTTACACAGGCTACTCACCTGTTCTGTTCTGTATTATAGGGGAATTACTACTAAACTGAGAACAGTGTTTGTATTGCAGCTGAATGACAGATAGTGAGTCTATTTAAATGAACTTCTATATGTTTATAAATGCACATGTATAACTAGATATTTTTGACTTTTTTTGAAGAAAATGTGACTCAGCACAATGCTAGGATGTTGGTTGGTGTGTGATATGGTTGATTAGCTACTTGCAGTGTATTTCTTTCCTTCACCCACAGAATATCACATCTCTCTTTCTTATGCCATTATACATTTTTAGGCCCTGTGTGAACCGTATTTAATTAGATACAAACAAGGCCCTTTAATGCAGTAATACAGTATGACTGTATTCCTCACCTTTCACCTCCATTTATGAATAACGTATGAGCTTCTAGACAAAACCATTCATATCTGAATTATTGATATTCAAACATATTCCACTTTTTTCCATAGCAAACAGGGTCTTGCCCTTTACACTTGAGTATATTGTTCTGGTCAATTTGGTCATATTGTATTTTCTAGTGCATTTGAACTGCACCATTCATCTGTGATCATTAGGTTGTGTGTCTGTATCATGGGACACTACATGTACCAGATTTCCAAAGGTGGTGTAACTCGATTAATGATTATATTGCCATGCTCATTTTGAAGCTAGAAATGCATTGATTTGTAAAATAATGTAAACACAATTATTCATGTCAGGCTGTTTAAGGGTTTATTGGATCTCCAAAGCAACACCGGAATCTTTTCTGCTCTAGTTTCTGTGAAAATAAGCTTTCCGCAATTCTCTCAAAATGTGACACATCTAGCTCAGCTGAATTGGATCTGACAGCCTCATAAGAAACGGACTATGAAATTGGGGCTCTAGTACAAATAATTATTCAATGATTTATTATACAGTATGTGCAGTGTAACATTCAGAGTTATGTATTTTACATGCTGACCTTCAGTGCAAACTAACTGAAAAGATCTTTCTTTTTCTTTTTTCAGAGACATGAGGCCTTTTCTGAAGAACACCCTTGAATATTTCCCTCACTGAGGATGTGTGATGATTTCTGCCCGGCACAACCGCATCTGAGGTCACTTCTTCTCTAGACCCTCTATTATACCTCAGGGCTGACTTTCAAAACTCTAAGTGACTGTGTGCTGTGTGCTTAAGTGTCTGTGTGCTTCGCTGAATTTGAGACCAGTTTTGCTTCACTGCGTCCGGCATGCAAAACTGCTGAAACATTGCCCTCCATGGTTTCCGCCCATTTCAAGAAGCTATCGTCTTACATTGTAAAGATTTGCAAAGGAATGTTTACAAAGAAACTGGCAAATACCACAAAGAAGAAAGAGAGTAGTGAAAACAAAAAAGAACCCAAAACGTCCCCCGATGCGCGGAACCCGACGTTCTCAACCACACTGAAAAGCACAGTTAAAAAGATCTCCAAATGCTCGTCGGCACGCAATATATCTCTTGAGGAGGATGACGGAAAAACCGACTGTTCTTCTCTTTCGCCAACATTCAGTTACCGTGTAGCAATTGCCAATGGACTTCCAAAAACTGCCCTCTTTCTGAACAATAATGAGTTTCATGAGGTCTTGTCAATTGGTAGCGATTACTCTGACTCTCTAAACGAGGCAAAACTTGTCCATAGATTCGATGAACAAAAAGCTTATACAATGCCAGTAAGACGGAACAGGAAGAGTTTGATTAGTTTAGCGCCCTCCGATGGCAGCTCGGAGGGGGAGCGGGGAGAGCGCAGCAGTCTCCACACCCTTCGATTGGGCGCTCTGAAAAAACTGAGGAAATGGAAGAAGAGCCAAGAATGTGTGTCCTCGGACTCAGAGGCCAGCAACTGGAGAAAGACTCTTGGCATCAGAAGCAAATCTCTGGACCGGGCTGGCCGACACCAGAAAACCACTACCCTAGAGCCGGGATCCAGCTCGACGGGATGCATCAGTCAGACTCAGGACGTGATGGAGATGATCTTTAAAGAACTTCAGGGAATCAGTCAGATCGAGTCCGAGCTCTCAGAACTGCGAGGGCACGTTAACGCCCTCAAAAGCTCCATCGACGAGATCTCCAGCAGCGTGGAGGTGGTGCAGAGCGAAATCGAGCAGCTCCGTTCGGGTTTTGTGCAGTCCAGACGCGAGACTCGAGACATCCACGATTACATCAGACAGATTAGCCAACAGACCAACAAAGCTACTCTGAGATTTCTAAATGTGCCTGAGGAGAAGTACGAAAAAACTGAAGACCTTATTTATCAGATCCTAAAAGAGAAAATGGGTTTTTCTGAAGCACGCAAGACATTTAAAATTGAATTGGCCCATCGACTAGGGCAACAAAGAGAATGTTACAATGCTAAACCTCGACCAATTGTAGTTATATTTTCAAGCCCACAAGACAGGGATTTAGTTTTGAAAAAGTGTTATAAGCTAAAAGGGACTGGAATATCAATTTCGACAGATAGTCTAGCACACGATTCAAAAGAAAAGAGAGACAAGCTGATGGCTTCCTCTCAGACATATGAAAGCATGGACATCAAGGTCTCAGCCAAAGACAAAGCTGAAAGTGATGACTGGGACTCCATGGAAAGCGACAAAGAGCTTGATGAATTAAACAAGAACAAATTTGCAATTGTGTCCAAACCACCTCCAAAAAGTAAATCAGACAAGAAAAAGTCTCACGATCACCGAAGGATGGCCGATGATGCTGCGTACTCTGTGCATTATGCCGATAGCACAGCCTACGATGACCACGACAAGCAAAGCAAGTCCTACTATTCCGACATAACACCTGGATGGCTGTCTCAGAGCGACTACTCCACTCCCAAACTCAGCCGGTCTGAATCGGACTGCTCCAAACTTTGCCAGTCTTACTCCGAGGACTTCTCAGAGAGTCAGTATTTCAGCAGAGTCAACGGCTGTTCCTTGCTTTCCTCCTCAGATCAGGAACTTTGGCAACGGAAGCAAGAAGACATGGCGTCCTCCTGGTATGCTAGTCCCCCCAGTCAAACTCTGAGCCAAGAACAACCTTATGCGGAACATAATGAAGTTGAAACCACAGAGACTATTGACAGTGGTGTAAGTAATGGTCTTGTTTGTATATCAGGGGACAGGAGCCATTACAGCGGCTCTCAGCTGTCGCTGCAGGGTGATCTCTCACCGTGGAAAGATTGGCATCACGTTGAACAAGGTGCTGATTCAGGTTTGGA